TGCCTCCTTTCTCGTATGTCTCCTGGACCCCATGGTGCTGAACTACGGAAATAATATTAATAGAACTAGTAGCGTATGGAAATGCTATTTTAAATATTATTATATATAATTATCATTCTAAATATTTAAATATCAACAACAACATATCAACTAAAATTTGAATTAATACGAAATTTCATTATTTTAAATTAATTTTAATAAATACTTTCTTAATATAATTGATGATTGAAAATTAAACAATATAGAGAAAAATTACATAAGAAAACCAATATCGGATAAACTAGCAAATACACACATACAAATCTAAAAATATTAATGTCAAGTTGTAATCAAAAAAATAAATCCACTAAATATTTTAACTGAATTAAGTCAAGTCAAATTAGATGACAGTGAGATGTAGTATATTTAAATTGAAGTATCTTCAAATAAGAAAAAAGCTTTGTAGGAGATTTGTCATCATTTTTGACATTTGTCATTGGCATAAAATTGAAAACTACAAAAAAATAAAAAATCAAAATTAAATTTGAAAATACATTATGTGAAAATACAATATTCTTATAATGAATTTTACTTACCTTCACTTTGTTTCTCGGTATTTATAACTCTAAATTTTGAAAAAAAAATTTGGAAGAATTTTATACGAAAATTTTCATAGCACATTTGTTTTTGTGCTTGCAGCATACTACTATAATTTAAAGTTCAAACATGAAAAAAATCAAAACAAAAATGCCTAGTACGTCATTAAAACAACTGACTTCAAAAAATCAAGTATGCCAAAGCTTTTTGGATAAATTGTCAAACAAGTTTCAAAATTTAATAAAAAACGATTGCTAATTTATTTATTCCAAAACATATGCTGAAATGAGTGAAAGCAAATATAACAATGAAAATAATCAATAATTGTTTTAAATAATTTCAAATAGATTAGAAAAATTTCAAAAATTTGAGTTTTCTAAAAATTAAATTTTTTTCTTGAAAATTTTCAAACGAAATTTTTTGTAAAACCATTTTTTGCACACCGTCTACACAAGCAAAAGGTTTTTTAATTTAATCTAATCGGACGATGTGTTCTCCCAAAAACTGCAAGACCATTTTTACACCCTTTGCGCTCCATACCTGCGCTCCATACCTGAATCGAATGTTTTTTGAACCATTTAAATCAGTTGATCCGTGCGCCCGGAAGCGTGACCGAAAAATTGTATGCATACATACATACACACACACATCCATTTTTTCTGAGGTATGCCAAAATGTTCAGAAACCTTCAAAACGTCGAGAAATGTAAAAATTTTCAATTTTGATTTTCAGCCTATTACAATAACTTACCCTACAGGAAGTTAATATTGAGAGTCCATAACCGTTAGACCTGCCTTTCCAAAAATTTTAACAGTTTTTCGTATAATCAATACAAATAAAATGTTTTTTGAATTATTCAAATCAGACGCTCCGTTCTCTCAAAAACTGAACTACAATTTTTGGTTCTTTTTGCCCCGTATCTTCGAAACGCCTTGACCTGCATAGGCCAAAAACTAATCAGCACGTTTCCTTACCAACACGAACCAAATGTTTTTTAAATTATTCAATTCAGTTATTCCATACTGTCGAAAAAGTCGAGGACATTTATTTGAACCACGTACGTGAAATTTAAAATTAAAAATCTTGGTACGGAACCCAAAGAAAAATTACACAAAATGTGTACATATTATTAAAATATCTAAAATATCTGATAATTTGATGTACATATGTCCAATGAATATTTTTGACCGCCAAATGGCATTTTTTTTTAACTTATTTTTATTGAGAGTCCATAACCGCTAGACCTGCCTCCCCAAAAATTTAATCAGCACGTCTCCTTATCAGTACAAATCGAATGTTTTTTGAATTATTTAAATCGGTTGATCAGTGTTCTCGAAATCGTCGCCGAAAATTTGTATCCGCACACACACGCGCACATACATCCTACATACACACACACATACATCCATTTTTTCTAAGGTATGCCAAAATGTTCAGAAGGGTTTAAAACGAAAAGATATATGCAAATTTTCATTTTCGATTTTTTTGCGATTACTATAACTTACCCTAAGTGTCATACACAATTATAAGGTATATCATATAATTCAAAATATTTTAAAACATCTGAAGATTTATATGCTATTGAAGTCGGTACTATTTGCTTCGTGATTTCTCATCAATTTATTATATATTGGACGCACCTGTTTAAATTTTAATTATTTCAAAATATTCTAATCGTTGAAAATTTGAATGCTGAACTGTATTGTGAAATCAACGGACATTGATGTTGATGCAGATCCTGAATATTACTAATTATTGTTTTTTTTTTTGGCTTTTTAATGGTTTAATGGAAATCTGAAATATATAATTAATACGATTAATTCATTATATATTTCAGATTTCCTTTTTAATCATTCAATATGAGCAGCACAATTTTTTAAATTTTTATTATTCATTTTACTTGTTCATATAATTTGTTTGTATTAAGAGACTAGAAGGTTCCGCAATTTGGTTCAACCCTTTCAAAAGGGGTTATAAAATTATGTTATTGTGTCAAGACAAAAATCATGAATAAAATAATTAAAAATAGTAGGGGAAGGCTGGTAAATCAATTTACCATCTGTGCATTTTACAAACAAAAGAAAAAAATACACATTTACGATTTTCTAGCTACTACTTATTTGAGAAAATATAAGATGGTACACATATTTATACTATCAGATGGTACCAATATAATATAATAGTGATCTGGGCGGATGTAAAACAAAACTTGATGGTGTTAAACTAAATGCATTTTTATTGCTTTAGGAGTTATAGACCACAGCTAAAGACTTAAATTACGCAGTGGTATAAATTTTATTGCTAATTATGAAAAACGCTTTCATACAATGACTATAACTATCTTAATATTTTCAAACTTGGTGGTCATATGTTTTTCATTTTATAAAGTGTCAAAACTGACAGACTATGACGTCACTCCGTGAACGAGCGTTGCCGACAATCGTGAAAAACTCCCGATTGATTAAATGCCATATGTCATATAGTGGCATATAGTGGCATACACTGGCATTATACTCTCAACTTGTATAAACAATAGTAACTATTTTATGTTATAATGTATTGTATATCATAATAGTTAATTTAATTCAAATATTTTTTGTTCTTGTTTTATTTCAATAATATAATGGCAATTGCGTGGACCGATAATTTCGTAAAAATTTTGATATTGATAATATTGCCCCTATGAAATAAATGTACATTAAATCAAATCCACCTGTTTAAATAGGCTTATATATTATAAGATCTGTGCATATGACGTTTAATCATTTGGGAGTGTTTCAGGAACCAGAGTAACTACATGCACTGATTATTTTCTTTACAACAATTTAACAATTTCAAACACCAGATTTAATTTTAGGTTAATATGGCATGGCATATGACATTTAATCAATCGGGAGTGTCCCCGATTGTCGGCAACGCTCGTTTATTAAGTGACGTCACAGTCCCCTTCTATCTTTTGATACTTATTTTACGCTCGACTAGCAGTCCATGGAGTACAAGGGCGAGCAACCTTTTTAACTCACAGACCAATTTAAATTTTAAAATTTTATACTTATTTATATATATACTAGTTGAACCCGCAAACGTTTAGTCACAAGAAATATTTCTAGAAAATTATTAGTATAAAAAATAACTAATTCTGAACGTAGAAATATGTGGTATAAATTAAATAGGCAGATAGAACAAATTACATTGATAATTTACCCACTGCAGCGCTAAAACACTAACATTTACTTATAACATTTATGTCATAAATCTCTCTCGATTTGCTACGCTTAGCGAATCGAGTGAGATTTCAATAACTCTGAAAAATAAAATCCAGATTACTCTCAAAAACAGTTCTTTTCAGATTTTAATATTAAAATCTACATTTTTTTGCTTAGATTGCTCCTTCTACAAAACATTCAAAATCTACGTACTCCTTATGCACATTGGGAAATATTTGTAAAATAGAATAAGCCTGCAATCTGAATATCAATGATTTATGCGAAAATCCATCGATAATTTCACGCAGATAACTATATTGAATTAGTGCGTCTAAGAATTGTTTTAAACAACAAAAGATAGAACGGATAAATTTTAGCTTTTCTATATGCTCAAAAAAATCTTGATAAAATTTCAATTAAAAACGTTTTCAAAAAGACGAAAATTGATCGATTATCGAACTATATAAAAAATGATTGGACAACTAATTATGAAACAGGAGAGTGAAAATTTAGAGTTGTACATAGTTTTCAATTTCGTTTTTAAAAAATTAGAATAAAGAACAAAATCAAAATAAATTGTTACGGTTGTACAACGCATGATAAAAATAAATTGTTTTTTTAAATAAAATTTAAGCTTTTTCATAAACTCAAAAATCTGAACTAAAATGAAGTCAAAAGCATTCATTGACTTAGCATGGGAACAATGTTAATGCAGTAAAAATACAAAATTTGAAGAAGTATTTATTTCAGCGTTGCTCATCCTTGATGTAGTATAATGTCAATGGTACTGGTATAAGAAAACATGCAAAGCGCTACCAGCATAAATATTTTGTTTCGGTACCCATCATGTTCGCGAAAAAATAAACAATTGAATTACTACTGAATATATCTAATTAAATTTCAAGTTTTTACAAATCCATAAAAATATGAAAAATGACTTATTTACAAAAAATACCGCGACAATGGATACGTGGACCGACATACATACCAGTTGATAAAGTGGATGAGGAGTTTCAATATTATGGGTGCCAATTTATTTTACTATTTTTGACTATTGACATTTAATTTTGTAATTTTGATGAATAATAGATTGGTATAAAGGTACAAAGAAATACGTAAATGATTCTACGTAGCATTCGTACTTGTTCTTTGTATTAGTTTATTTTGTACAATTTGAATAAATATAATTTTGATTGCTTTAAATATTATTATATGTAGCTCCGTTCTTCGGCATATGGCACCCACATTAAGCAAACCAGATGATCGAGAGTTCGTCCAGCTCTGGGTAGCAAAGTTATTCCGGCCTGAATACAACACGAAAAGATTTCGTGACAAACGTAATAAATATTTGTATTTTCTCATTATGACACTCATGAACGACGAATTGATAGGTACGTATTATTCGGTCCTATATATTTGTTTATTAGTGAATATACATTGTATGCTATAAGTACAGATACGTGAAACCGGTTGCAGTATTCGAGGCTGATGCTAGTAAAAAATAGTGAATTTCTTAAAAACGATGTTATGAGTGCATATATCATATTCTGTCTAGTCTTGAAAAATGGTCTATAAAGAATCAATTGTAAATAGATATTTAGTGAAATAAGAACATTTTTAGTTTTGATAATGCATATACTTACAACGTAATAAATGCAAATAAAGAATGCTAAATATTTGATATTAAATTGAATCCATATATAATAGGAACACTGTGAAAATATTCGAAGTTATGAATTAATTGCTTGCTATGCTTAATATGGACATTTTCGAATTTCATTGCTCCCAAGGGCTCAAACGGTTCCAAATTGATAAAAAACAATTATCTGAAAGTTTTAGCTCTTAATATTAACTTTCGACAATAACTTATATGTCATCATTGGTGAATAAAGATATGGTGTCTTACATCAGTAGATATGCGCAAAGCTAGGGTTTGTCGGTTTTCAAAAACCGGTTTTAAAAACCGGTTTTTTGGCAAAAATTATGAAATTTGAAAACCGGTTTTTAGCAGAAAAAGTCGGTTTTAACTGTATAAATGGAAAATGACAAATATAGCCAAATTTAAAAGATAGTTTCAAGCGTTTTGATTCTTGGAATCATATCGGTTTGATAGCATTTGAAATCTTATCAGTCTTCTATGGTTTCCAGAAAGGTTTTGTGTTATCTTTTTGTCTAATTTATATATTAATTTAAATTTTTATACCAATATGTATATTAATTTAAATCAGTGTGACTTCTTGAAGAATTAACTTTCTCTATTCAAACTTAAACAAAAAGAGTTTTGAGCCTTAGAAGACACAAATAAAAGAACAAGAAACTAACGAATTAATATATCAGGCTTTAAAAACAAGTCTAGCTTGGTCGGAGGTGAGAGAGTATTTTCTATTTTTTGAAATTTTGTGAGTAAACAAAGGACACGTCTGAGTAACAAATCGATAATTCTCAGTTTTTTAAAATCATATTTTATTAAACAAAAAAATAATTAGACTTTTAAAAATTAATTAATAAAACATGCTCGGGATAGAAAACACTCGGGGTTTAGCTCAATTGATAATGAATAAATGTTTTTTTATTTAAAAATATATTATTTTTAATTATTCAAGAACTTCCCTTTCACTATCATGAAAATATATATCCGCTATCATAAAATATAAATATATGATAACGAATGATTATTTTCAAAGTTATTTAATCCAGATAAACTATTATTTTTTTTGTTCTACTAATTAAAATTAAAATAATTTTGTTTACTATCCATAAAATTGAACAATAAATAAATTCAAATTCTGCTTTAAACCGCACTAAATTTGCGGGAATTTTTTTGTTATTACAAAATATTCGAGCGAAAATTGATTTTCTATATAAAATTCGAAAACCGGTTAAAACCGATTTTCTGGTAAAAGTAAAATTCGAAAACCGATTTTCTGAAATATCGGTTTTGTATAAAGTACTTCCATTTATACACTAACTTATGAATTTAAATTTATATATTTCTATAGTTTCTTCAACACTACTTTTGTGTAATGAAAATCGATGCATATTCCTTATTGTAAATTTTGTATATTTGCTAATGTTGCTAATTGCATATTTTGTTTATCGATGATCCGTAAACAAAATTTAATTAAAATGGATTCAATTATTATTTAAATTTAAATTTTATTAATATTTTACAAGTTAAACCATTGTTTCATAGTATATCTCTACGTTTCAAAGTTTTCTCAACATTTTGACATACCTTAGAAACAATCGATATATGTATGTATGTGTGTACAGGTATGTATGTATGTGCGGATACAGCATTTTGTCTACTATTTCGGGAGTACGAATCACCCGATTTGAATGGTTCAAAAAACATTTGATTTCTATTAACACGTTGACTGCATAGGTCTTTGGACCTATATTGTTTTTCTATGCTGGAACGTTTTATTTAAGTACAATATTTGTTTCCTTTATTATAGGTTTTGTACCAAGATAAATACTGTTCAAAGTTCACTTATATAGTTCAAAACATTTTTGACAGTATGGAAAACCGATTTGAATGAGTTTCAAAATATTCAAAATTTGTCCAAAAATTTTCAAAAAAAATTGAAAATTCTTTAAAACATCTATTTTTTCGACATTTTCGAAACATGTTTAAATTAGCAATTGTCTTGAAAATTAGCAATTTGTCTTAAGGAACGATGCCATGCACAACTAGTTTGTGACAAATTTACGCTGCATATAACAAGTTTTATCATTGTTAAAGTAAGCTTTTGCTTTAATTAAGGGGATACGTTTCATAATCATAAAGCGTTATATCTATGATATGCCTAAGAACATTTGAATGGTATTGGCCAATTCATTTGTTGTTAATATTAATATGTGCCGGTATAAGTGAATTTGTATCGCGTATTTGTTCCAGGTATATTTGCTGGACCGCCTCCCTTGGCTTCGATTCCAGAAGTTCAGCGTTTGAGCCACAAGAAAATCCTTCCAGCTATGTGGGAGAAGGAAACCTTTTACTGCGATCTAATAGAAGAGACTGGCGTGCGTCATACCATGAAGTGCGCCATTCACGGCGAACGACGTTGTCCTATGATTGGTGCCAGCATCAGCGAGCCTTTGAGAAAGGTTAGATTCATATTAACATTGACGAATTCAATTAAAAACTAGTGGTGCGTGCCATCATGCTTTAACGCAAATTGCTGGAACTTTCGTATCAAAAACTAATACATTTAAAAAAAAAACTTTGCAAAACTTTGAAAAAATTAGGTTTTTGAGAAATTTTGAAAATTTAAAAAAATGATTTTTTTAACTTTCCGAAGGGCAAGTTACAGTAATCGCAAAAAAATCGAAAATGAAAATTTTTATATATCTTTACGTTTCAGAAGTTCTTGAATATTTTGGCATACCTTAGTATGTGTATGTGTGTGTGTGTGTGTGCGGATACAAATTTTCGTCGACGATTTCGGAAACACGGATGAAGCGATTCGAATAATTCAAAGAACATTCGATTCATATTGATAAGAAGACGTGCTGATTAGTTTTTGGCGAAGGCAGGTCTAGCCGTTCCGAAGATACGGGGCAAAAAGTGCCAAAAACGGTAACTCGTTTTTTAAGAGAACGGATCGATTTGAATAATTCAAAAAACATTTTATTTGTATTAACTGAGTGAAGAACAGTTCAAATTTTTGGAAAGGCAGGTGCAACGACTTTGGAGATATGGAGGAAAAAGTAAAAAAATGAGCCATTTGGCGGTCAAAAATAAACATTAGACATATGCACATCAAATAATTAGATATTTTATAGAGATTTTAGCAATAAGTATAAATTTTATTTACATTCCTATGGGTTCCGTACCAATGTTTACGTGTTAGACGGCGATGCGGCGCTTACGCGCTTTGATATTTCGTCTTTATGCAGTTAAAGCTTTTAAAACAAGTTCAGAATTTCCAAAATATTTCAAAATAAATGATTTAAGATAGAATCATTTAATATGGTTCGAAATTCTATTAAAAGTTTCAAATCATTGATCAACTTTTATTGATTATTATTGATTATTTTTAATTACTCGAATTTTGAATTGCGGTACGGGAAGTTCCAGCAATTTGCCTTAAGGAACGATGCCTTAATTGCCTTAAGACAGAATTCCACTTACAGCTAGTTTTATATTTTTATTGGCCTCGCTTGCTTGAGCATTTAGCCACCTATCTTCAGTTTCATACTATCTTCTTCTTCATATAATCCTATTCTTTCCATACTTCTTAACTTTCTTCATTCTTCTTTCTTCTTCTTTACTATCTTCTCATTTCTTCTTCTAAACACTTCTTACTTCTTCTACTATACTTCTCATTTTATCTTCTATACCCTTTACTTCAATTCATTTTAATTCTAAATCTTTAATTTTTATACATTCTGATTATTTTACATACATATTTTTTATTACAATTCACAATTCTATTATAATTCCAAATTAACTCCTTAATATTTTTCTAATTTCTTGCCGGAGTTTCGAACTCAGAACCTGCAGCGTGTGAACCGGGAACGCTACTCTGTGGGCAAATCCCGCCACAAAAAAAGATTTTTTATATACTTTGACTTTGATTTTTTTTTGAACATTTTGAACATTTTTTTAAGCATTCGCGCTGCATGCCTGATTTGGAGTCGAAATATCAAATTGCGTAAGCGCCGCGTAGTCGTCTAACGTGTAAACATTGATACGTAAATGTACACAAAATTAGTACATACGATGTACGAAACGAAAATAGTACAATGTACATATGTCTAATGTCTATTTTTAACCGCCAAATCGCATTATTTTTTACTTTTTTTTCTAGGATCTCCGGAGACGCTAGACCTGCCTTCACAAAACTTTTACCAGCTATTCATTTTGTCAATATAAGTAAAATGTTTTTTGAATTACTTAATTCCGACGCTCCGTTATCCCAACAAGTGAAATACCATTTTTGAAACTTTTTGCCCCGCATCTCCGAAACGGCTAGACCTGCTTTTGCCAAAAACTAATCAGCACGTCTCCTTATCAGTAGGAATCGAATATTTTTTAATTATTCAAATCAGTTGATCCGTGTTTGCGAACACACACACATACATCAATTTTTTCTAAGATAAGCCAAAATGTTTAGAAACCTCTGAAACGTTAAGTGAATTCTTGGTCATAAAAAGCGCTCGATATCGTCGCGAACTAAATTTACAACGTTTAATTTTTGCCTTTTCAAGTTCATTCATTAATTTATAAACACTC